CAGCACCGGGAGCAACTGGGGAGACGGCACGGCTCTTCTGTGGTCATGACTCAGGTGCTGCTGGTGTCCAGATGGGGATGAAGCACTTGGATGGGTGCATTGATCAAGTGACAGGGGCTGGGAGGGAGTAAATCGTGGCATTTAGTGGCTGCTCCCAGCGACACCAGTGGGTGTTATGCAGGGAAAAGGGGTGGGAATGGCAGTGAGGGTCCTCGGGGGGTGCCAGCACCCCTGGTTTGGTCTTTACTAGCAGAGACAAGACACCCAGACACATCTGAGGTGGCTTAAACTACAAGTTGAATCCCATGGGTGATGGGTCTTGCGGGAAATCCCTGGTGCTGTGAGAGCCCGGCACGGCAGAATGCCCGAGGTCCCGGTGGGATGCTGGTCACCCCTGAACGGACCTTGTGGCCATCTCAAGGAGATGCCAGCACCCCGGTGCCGGTCCGGCGCTGGGCGAGGGCAGGGAGCAGCGGGGGCCGGAGGGAGGGGAGCAGCGCCAGCGAAGGCTGCCACGCTCAGCCCTCGCCCGTTCCTGCTTCTCCCCGCTTCAAAGGTGGCTCCCCCTCCCCCAGCCTGCAGGACCAGCCACAGCTCATCACAGAAGGCGATTTCTCCCCCCTCCTTTCTTTCTTCTTCTCCTCCCGAAAGGCACAAAAATCCCCCCTGCCCCCTCCTCCCGCCGCATCTCACACATCCGCAGGATCTCCCTCCCTCCCGCTCCTACTCTTCCTCCCCAAAACCATCCCAGCCCGGCACGAAGATGGGAACCGATTCAGCTCCGCATCACCCACCTCGACCCTCCGGCCGTGTCCCCGTCCCCTTCCCTCACGCTGCAGCCTCGGGAAGACATTTGCAGGGAATATTATGGGGTTGGGGTCGGGTTTTTGCTGGAGAACCCTTTCAAGGGCGGCCAACGGGCAGGTCTCCACCGGGCAGTCCCCGGGCAGCGGTTGGCCAACCCAGTAAAGAATAGTAATAGGGAATAATTGAAAGCGGTGGTTTAATGATTGGAACAGCTCTTCTTCCCTACGTCTCCGTCTGCCCATCTAAATATAGACATACGCTTCCTCAACACAAAATGCCAGCGTCCCCCCTCAGAGCCAGGTGAAGCGGCTGAGAGCCAAACAGGAGTATTTAAAAGCGATATTAAATGACCGATGCCTAACGAAACCCTCGGGCTGAAGGAAGCCCTCTGCTGATAGATGTTTATTTACGGAGGAGAGGAAAGCGGGTTGGAAACAGACTTTTTTTTTCCCCTCCTCCCAAGGTTTTGGCTGCAGCAGGTTGGAGGGGGGTTTTTTTGGGTTGGGTGGTTGTGTTTGATGTGTAAATCCCTTCTCGCTCCCCGACTCGGCCTTCGGGAAGCAGCTCTGGGAGGTGTTGGTTTAGCTAAAATGCTGTTGAGCTGTTGATTTAAGGGATTTTAGGGTGGCGGTTTGGGATTTTAGGGTGGCGGTTTGGGATTTTAGGCTGGTGGTTTGGGATTTTAGGCTGGTGGTTTGGGATTTTAAGGTGGCGGTTTGGGATTTTAAGGTGGTCGTTTGGGTTTTTACCTCTCCCTTCCCACACAAACGTGGCTGCGCATCTCCCACCACGCAGCAGGGAGCAAAGCTTGGTCGGGGGTGGCCGTGGTCCCCAGGAGCTGGGGGACCCTCCTGTCCCCATCAACGCGCACAGGGTGGCACAGATGCGGCTGAGGGACAGGGAGCAGCGACGCTGCCGTGGGTGGAGGGAGGCAGCATCCGTCCGTAACCACCTTCAGGGTCTTCCTCTGACCCCATTCCCAACCCCGGGATGGATTTTTCCAACAGATGGAGAGATCCGTCGTCCTCTCGCCTGCAAAGAGACAGCAGCTAGCGGGGAGGGAAGAAAACCACTAATAATTGTGCTCCATTAATGACTTGAAATGTTCCCAGGCTAAGCGCTCCCATTTCTCTGCTAAATGAGCCTCTCTCCTTGTCCACCGAACAGCAACCACTAAACCCCCTCCTCCCCGTGGCCCTGGGACCGGAGCTGTGGGTGGATGGCAAGGGGACGGTTTTTCTTTGCTGTAGTCAAGATATCTTCTGAGTGAAGCAATTTTTCCTCTCGCCTTGTGCTTCATCTTCCTCCGTATCCAAGCGCAGCCGGGATCCTCCCAGGGCCTGGATGACTCACCGCGGCAGCAATGTAAGGGCATTAGCGCATGATTCCTCCCAGGGCTCTGCATCTCCCATCACCGGGAGTTTTTATATTCCGAGCAGCTCTCCTGCCCTGAGGAAATATCACGTTTACCTGCAAAATGGCCGGGCAGAGGGGAGGGGACAGCTCAGGATGGAGATGGGAGATGGACCGGGGTGGGTGATGCGGGGACACCTCGGGATGGAGATGGGTGATGGACTGGGGTGGGTGATGTGGGGACACCTCGGGATGGAGATGGGAGATGGACTGGGGTGGGTGATGTGGGGACACCCCAGGATGGAGATGGGAGATGGACTGGGGTGGGTGATGTGGGGACACCCCAGGATGGAGATGGGCACTGGACTGGGGTGGGTGATGTGGGGACACCTCAGGATGGAGATGGGAGATGGACTGGGGTGGGTGATGTGGGGACACCTCAGGATGGAGACGGGAGATGGACCAGGGTGGGTGATGTGGGGACACCTCAGGATGGAGATGGGAGATGGACTGGGGTGGGTGATGTGGGGACACCTCAGGATGGAGATAGGCACTGGACTGGGGTGGGTGATGGAGGGACACCTCGGGATGGAGATAGGCACTGGACTGGGGTGGGTGATGTGGGGACACCTCGGGATGGAGATGGGTGCTGGACCAGGGTGGATGATGCAGAGACACCTCAGGATGGAGATGGGTGATGGACTGGGGTGGATGATGCAGGGATACCTTGGGATGGAGACGGGTGATGGACCGAGGTGGGTGATGGAGGGACACCTCGGGATGAAGATGGGCACTGGACTGGGGTGGGTGATGTGGGGACACCTCGGGATGGAGATGGGTGATGGACCAAGGTGGGTGATGTGGGGACACCTCGGGATGGAGATGGGTGATGGACCAGGGTGGGTGATGTGGGGGCACCTCGGGATGGAGACAGGCGCTGGACTGGGGTGGGTGAAGTGGGGACCAAAGGGATGCACGTACACAGCCTCGCCGATGCCCACGTTTGCAGCGTGACATGCACATCCCCAACACAAAGTTATTGCCCTCACCCCGAGTTATTGCCGCAGAGCCGAAGCGGGTCCCTGCCCAGCGCGGCCGACGGCAGCTCGGTCACCCCTTCAGCCACAATCCCAGCGCAGCGGCGGTTGCATTTAACTCACTAATTGCACGCCGTGCTCGGCCAGGATGCTTTGCAGAGTGCAATTAATTAGCATTTGCTTCCCTGACGCTTGCTGACCCTGCCAGACTCGGGAGTAAATTGGCTGCCGTGGGTAATGGGTTTGCTAAGAGCGGCTGGCGGTGGTGGCACGGCTCCTGGGTAATCACTTCGTTACAGGACGAGCTATTTATACTTTCACTTTGGAAAGACGAGGCGGCTCGTTGGAAGAATGTGGCCTTCAGTGCCAGCTGCTCTCGGCTTTCGGGCTCGCGGAGGACCTTGGAGAAAGGAGGCACAGACGTGGCTGGGGTGAACCAGAGCTCGAGCAAAACCCCAACCCGCCCTCCTGGGGCACTTTTTGCTCAAGAAAACCATCGGCCGGGGACTGCGTGAGGCCGGGACACGCTGGGATGGCGCAAAGAAGGTGGAAAGATGCTTGGGGGACGCTGCAGACAAGCAAAGCAGGGTTAGCAAATGTGCAAAGATCATTTCTCCTCTATGGCGTAAACACGAGGTGGGATACGGAGGACCAGGGGATGGGGGATGAGCCTTGGACATCCCGCTGAGCTCCCCAGCCCCTCTCCTCTTCCCCATCACCCTCCCATCCCTCCTGCTCTGCCCGTCCCCAAACCTGGCCCAAACCTTCCTAATCCGGAGAACGAACCGCCCCTGCTCCCTGCTCGCCAGCCCTTTCCTCAAGCCGCGTGGCACTTCATTATATCACTAAAGATTAATCTGCCGCTCCTAATTGCCAAGTGCCCGAGAGCTCCTGGCAGGGAGAAAAATAAGTGTCGGGCGAAAAAGCCAATGTGGTATAATTTTTTTTCCTTCTCTGCAATATTTAGGTCGACTTACCGATGTGGGAAGCGCAGGGATGGGAATACACGCGGACTAGGGGAGCGGGGGGTGATTTTATTGCACTTTTTGGGGCGTTTTCCTCTGTCCTGGCCCTGAGAGGGAAGAGCACGCGTGGCTCCAGCTGAATGTGGAGAAAGACTGATTTTGGTGGGGTTTGGTTTTTTTTGCTTTTCATGGGGAATCAGTTGTTTCTCCTCTGCCCGTGCAGCTAAGGCAGGAGAAAAAAAGTCTCTGCCAAGCGCTGCGATTTTAGGAAGGCTGAGATCAAAGTGCTCTGCAGACTCAGCAAACCTCTTTGGCCAGGAAACAAAAGGGGACGGGGTTTTTCTTTAGGAAGAGTCTATGCCGTAATTTTCCATGCGACACGTTTCATCGTAGAACCAAAGGTTTGGGTCCGGTTTGGGCTGATTTGATGCACTTAATCACCAAAGAGCCTGGGGGGAGGTTGGGGGATGATTTAGGGCACCTCTTCGACTCGGTGAACCATTTCCCTCTGATGGATTGAAAACGTTGCAGGTGACAAAGTGATTTCCCCCCCCACCCCCCCGATTTGTTTTGCTGGAAAAGAAACCCAAATACCCAATCAGGTCAAATCTGTGGCTTAACTCTGTGTATTTTTGGCCAGGAAAGAGCCCGGCAAAAGCCGTATTGTTTTCAGAGCTGCGGCTGATTCTCTCGCAGCAACGCGGGAGAAGGATGGAGAATGGCAACTGCTCGGTTTGCATCCCAGCCTGGAGCTCAGCAATTTTTTTCCCTCCCCCTATTTTAGCAATATTTGTGGATAATTCGCTGCCCGGGGAGTCGTGCTGTGATTGCCCCGTACCCCCCTGCCCGGCTCCTCCGGGTATTTAGGGACCCACCGCACCTCCGCATCCTCCGGCAGCCGGTACCCACGGGATCCAGCCCCCATCCGTGCCAAATCCTGCTTTTCTGTGCCCCCTCTTGTCCCCAGGGCGAGCTGCCAGCACCATCCTTTGGCCCAGGGGCACCATCCTGCCC